TTGAAGCCTTTGGTGCGGGCTCCCCTTACCACTGCTGTTTTGGACCAGGCCTGGTCAACGCCAGGCCTGGAATTGTATTTTAATTCCCTGCAATCCTCAGGTCATGGTGGAGAGTTAGCACCTGTTTTAAATTTTAATTGAAATTTAAAAAAACATTTTTAATACAGATGTTTGCTGTCCCAAGAAGCCACTCTGTAATATGGCCACACTTTGTATCATTTGGTTTCAAAAGATCAAAATATGTTCTCAATTTGGAACTTGATGAATCAGTGGTTTCAGACCATACACCTTTCTTAAATGATTTTGTTCATCTCTGTCAACCTGCTAAACTGTGCACTCCTGCATGGCACTGCATGGCCATGCTCTTAAGCCTTCCACTGCTGTTCAGTTCTGTGCTACCTTTAACTATGAAGTGACTTCCTCCACTACTCAAGAGCTAACACTTCAATTGTGTTCTTTTAGTCTAACTGTTCTGGCGTCTGTGGCTCTATTAAAAATCAGGCAACCAAAACCCAGGTCAGAGCCATGGTTAAATGGCAGTACAAGGCCCATTTGAAGGGGGTGCAGGAGGGCTTAACAGAGGTGGAAATAGGACAGGTTGTAGGTTTCTTTTGAAATGTTGAGAAAAAGTTTGTGACGGTATAGATGTGAAACTGCTTCTGACGGGGTGTGGTCTCAGCTGCAGAGGAAGGGTGGTGCAGTGGGTTCAGAGGGCAGAGCAAGGGGAGGCTGGCAGTCGGAGGCCATTATGGGATCATGCCTCCCCTATTTGATGAACACACAACTGAGAAGGGGAGGAGAGCTGAGAGCAGACAGCTGCGAATGAGCAGTCACCCTCATAATGAGAGAAACCCTATAACAGCTTGGAAATCTAACCTATAAATAAGGAGTGTTTGTGTGTGTGTGTGTGTGTGTGTGTGTGTGCGTGCGTGCGTGTGCGTGTGCGTGTGCGCGTGTGCGTGTGCGTGTGCCCTGTTGGGCAGAACCAACACCGCCTTGTGTTACACTGCTAGGTCAAAATTTTTCTCTGATGTCATTGTCTCTAACCCTCACAACCCCCCTGTTCTTTCTAACACACTGAGCTCCAGCTCACTTTTTTTTTTTTTTTTTGAAAATTAAGCGCTAGGACTCTCTTTTTACCACCCTCTTATGATCTGACAATCTCAACTTCCTGTTTGGCTTTCTTTGACCGCTTTGAGCCTGTCTCTCTCTGCTTTTGTCATGAGCTGGCTGTGTGCAGGCAGGACACAAACACAAACTCACTTAGGCGAAACGTGAACTTAAAATACAGCTTTATTGCTGAGAACGAAAAAAGCGATACAAAGCCAAAACTGGGAAAATAACTCGACCTATACTGGGAGCACTAAATAGTCAGGGAAGGGGAAGACACAAGGGGTAGTTTTTGTTCAAGAGATTGTATAGAATAACTCCAGACTGACACAGTGGACTTAAACATGAATAATAATAAAAAATTACAAAAAATGCAAGAAAACACAAAACACTGGGTCAAATTGCCCAGGACAAGGACACGTTTTTAAAGCAGTTTGTTTCCAGTATGAAAAAAAATTATTAAATACACTGTTGTACAATCCTCTGTGACAAAAATGAACCAAAGAGTTTAATGCAGGCTTGAGTTAAAAGGTCTAATGAAACCACAAAGCGCAATGAATGTGAGGGATGGCCTCGCCAGCTGAGGTGGGCTCTTGGGCCATGAGCTGTTAATAAATGCTTAGGGGTTCATATGATTGTTGGGGTTTTCTTTGATTTCTTTGCATTATTCTAGGGTCTTTCCCTTACAATATAAAGCACAATGAGGCAACTGTTGTGATTTGGTGTTATATAAATAAAACTGAATTGAATTGAACTGACTTCTCAGCCTAAAGGCTGAGTAAGTCAGAGCCTTTCTATCACTCGTCATAGAGTTTTTCTTAGGAAAATCCAGATGGGTTGGTCACCGTCACATTCTTTACATAGCACTTAATCTACTGTAACTGACTGAAGGTCTCCAGGTCCTGCTGTTTGAAGATGGACCAGTCTGTCAGATCAAAAAGAATATAGTTGTGTTGGTGTCCCATACAACAAAATCCCTGCTTGGGTCTTCTGAAAGAGAAAGCCAGAAAGGCAAGTCACCAACTGTCATCATAGCTTCAGATATATCCGTGTGGACTTTGTATCCCGAAACACCACTGTCATAGTTAAGGATTCACCAGTTGGGGTTTTTGTAAATAGACTGGTTCTTATATAGCGCTTTTCTACTCTAACATTATGCAAGTTGCCTCATTCTCCCATTTATTTTTTGTATGCTTTTCATAGAAGTGCTTTCTATTTAACATTCACACTCCAATGGATGCATCAGAGAGCAACTTGGGGTTAATATCTTGCCCAAGGACATTTCTGGGTGTAGAATAAAGTTACGTTGAAACCAAGCACACCATTGTTGTTCTTGTGACATTACCAATAAGTTTGATGTGTCACATGGCCCTCTTCCTATTGAAAAAAATAAAAGTTGTATCCAAGATGGCCGACTTCTAAATGACCACCATGGTCACCACCCATCTTGAGGAGTTTGCCCCCTCACATGTACTAATGTGCCACAAACAGGACTTTAATATCACCAACCATTCCCATGTTATTACGGTGTATCCATATAAATGGCCCACCCTGTAGAATACAGTTCAGTTCAATTTATTTCAATTTAATTCATTTATATAGTGCTAAATCATGACAACAGTTTCCTCAAGGAACTTTACATTGTAAGGTAAAGACTACAAAATAATAGAGAGAAAACAAAGAAAACCCCAACAATCATCAATCATCAGAATCACAATACTTTATTATTGCCAGAGGAAAGTATGTGGTCACAGTTGTTCCAAGAAAGTAAGGACAGTAATTCACTAAACTAAATTAAATAATACAGCATATTACAACATTGCGAGAGGAATCAGGGTCATCTGAGACAGCTTTAACTATATGCTTTATCAAAAAGGAAGGTTTCAAGCCTAATCTTAAAAGTAGAGAGGGTGACTGTCTCACAAATCCGAACTAGGAGGTAGTTCCACAGAAGAGGGGCCTGAAGGACCCTTGGATCCCTAAGTAAGCAATTACATTTGCATAGTTTTTTCCAGACATTTACTATGCTTTTTTAAAAGTATATAACAACAATAAATGTTCATAAGATGTTTTAAATTTCATAGAAATGATAAAGTATAAATTGATCATCTACGTAGTGTATAATATAAAGCTTAAAATTATACTATTAAAATTATTCCTGCGATCCCAGGGGCTATGATGTCAGAGTCACCCATGGCAACCTGGTCCTGGGTGAGGGACCAGAGAAAGAGCGATTCAGGTGACCCTTATGAGTCAAAAATCAAGGGATAGGGTTACCGAAGCCCTTCCTGGAGGCAAGCCTGGGGAGGGGGTCTGAAGGAGAATGCCTGGTGGCCAGGCCTTAACCCATGGGGCTTGGGCAGGTGCAGCCCGAAGAAGAGACATGGGTTCACCCTCCCATAGGCTCACCGCCCACAGGAGGCACTGTAGGGTTCGGGTGACGACCAAGGGTAGAGACCCTGGGGACCAATCCCCAGCTACTGAGACTTGTGATTGGGGCATGGAACATCACCTCTCTGGTGGTAAAGAAACCTGAGCTAGTGTGTGAGATCATGAGCTCCCGGCTAGATATAGTCGGGCTCACCTCAACACACAGCTTGTATTTTGGAACCAGTCTCGTGGAGAGGGGCTGGACTCTGTCCCAGTCTAGAGTTGCCTTTGGTGAGAGGCATCAGGCTTGGGTGGGTATCTTGGTATCCCTTTGGCTTGCTGCCTGTATATTGACATTTTTCATGGCAGATGAGAGGGTTTGTTCCCTGCACCTTTGGTTCAGGGAACAGGTTGAGGGGGTGAGGGATGAACTGTCAACTGATCACCAATCAGCAGTGAGTTGGATCAGGTGGCAGGGGAGGATGCTGGACAGACGTGGGATGCCTAAATGTATTGTGAAGGTATGCTAGGAATGCTCCTCGCTCCGCTCCTGTAACACACTCCTCTCCAAAACCTGCTAAGACAAGACGGGAAGGTCAGTGGCCTATTCATGAAATGCATGAAAGCAATATTTCTGGTCAGACCCGGGGCTTCACTAACTCAATAACTCAGCAATCCAGTGTCGACTGAAACTCATCCACCCAGTTAAGTAGTGGCCACTGACAAAGGTGATCAGCGGCAGCTGGTGAAGTAGATGGGCGACAGGTGTGGCTGGCTTCAGCACGGGAAACTCCTCTGGCCTGATGATGCCCACAAACTGGCATGGTGGAACACACACAAACACACGGGGGGGGAGGGAAGTCAGAAACAAAACACAAAGAAAAACATGCACATGGGCAGGTCGACCAGCAGAAACTGCCAGACCATGACATCTCAGCAAAAATGAAGTCCATAGACTTTATATAAGTGCAAGAAAATTGTAGTAATGTAAGGCTTGTGTATTTTTTTAAAAGAAAATGAAAAAACAAAAAACAGAAACTAAAAAAACTAGAAAATAGAGCCAACACCCAGACTATAGTGACACGTCTGCACTGATACATTTAGCTAACCTCAGTACTCACACTTTGAATTTCTTTGAACACACAAAAGTTTAGACGCTTCTTGAGGGGTTTAGAAAAAAATGAATCAATAGAAGATAAAAATAATGTTCACAGAAGCTATCAAATTCCAATGATTTTCTTTCTTTTGATCATTATTGTTTCTCTTGGCATTATTTCAATTTAGAATGTAATATATTACCTTTTTACTACACTAGGGTTCCAAATGCAGGACTTAATGCAAAGAATCAGATAGCATATAAATTCATTAATTGCAACAAAACTAAAATCAAAATATAGAAAAATGTAGAAATTGTATGCATAATCATCAGTGATCTGACGTCAAACGTTCACAATTCACTTTTAGCCTTTAAAAAAATCACTGTCTTTAGACCAAACTTTGAGCTCCAACTGTTTTTCCTGTGTTCCACTGGATGACGCTAGGAGCTGTTCACAGTGCTGAATGCTCGGCGGCAGTGCTGCCCTGAAGAGGAGTCTCCTAGCAAGTAGAACACAGAGCGCTGCAACGGCAACAGCAGCTCTCTACAGCCTCCAGTCATCGCACAGAGTACAGTCTGTAGTCTGTAGTCGTGTTGGTGGAACGAAAATAACAGCCCGTCGTCTGCTTCAATGAGTACGTTCAGACAGCAAAACCGGGCTGAAGTCACCCAAAGGAGCACGCAGTGTGTGTAGTCGTTGTTCGGCGGAGCTCTCGGTGCTTCGGTCCGTCGGAGGGAAAGTGCTGATTCCAAGGCTCAAGAAGCGCTAAACGGGAAAACATGATGAATGGGATGAGATATTATTTTCCTGTCCTGCTTGTTCTGGTGGCGGTGGTCAAAGACACGGGCGCCAGAGGTAAGAACTGTTCAAATTATATTTATTTCGAAAAAGCTGTTCCCGTGTTTATCCCGAGTGCTTACATGGTTTTTCAGCCTTCGACTTCGCTTTCCAGAATTAGATGCTTGGGTGGTGGATTTTGTCTTATTTTCGTAATGGACGCTTTCCGTTTCCACCGTTTTCCAGCTCCTCCATGTGCTCACACGGCTTACGAATAAAACGCACTGGTTATTGTGAGGAAGACACGAGTGCGTATACAGGTTGTGGCTAAATTTCAGGTTTGATTGTTTACATTGCAGTCCGATAAAAACATGAGCAGCACAAATCTTAAAAGCCTATTAAAGTTGTCAATCACGCGCATTTTACATAGCAGAAAGCAAACTTTAATAACCGTTACAACTTAGTATATGATTCATTTATAAGTCCAGAGGCAAGCGGGCGGATAAAAATGCAATTTTCCATCCTCAACATTACTAACTAATTACAACAAATACATTAAAAATAAAATGTATACATTAATAAACAACAAAGAAAGATCGCATCTTTCTCAGTGCTCTTATCATAACAGAGGAATGGCTTTACAGCTTTCCTACATTTTTCATATTTCCCAACAAAACACAGAGGGCAACAAAGCATGGATGGTGTTAGACGTCTCCCCGGATAGAGGCTAGGCGACATTTCGCCTAATATTTTCTGAATCCCTAGCCCGATACCTAAGAATTGACTTATCAACACTGCCTAGTCTAAGCATTAAAACTGTTATCATATCATATATATCATACATGCCTCTTTGACAGATGACAAGAACTCTAAAGTAAAGAAGTTATCTGAGGAGAAGCCCCTGCTTTGTCACTCATCTTTTAATTAGACATGTCTGTGTAGGTGTAGCCGACACCGGCAGAATCCACATTTTTCGGATGGTCGGAGTCAGATGCCTGTTTTTAGATCTATATTGTGATATGTTAGAAGTGTCACTTACTAAATAAGTAAGTAGAGTAGAGGATTCATCATGACATAGCTAGAATGAACTGCTCAGTGTGCCATTTGGTTTGAGTCTCATCTAGGAATTTGATGTCACAAAGTTAAACTGTTCCCTGTTAGACTGCTGCTACTGCCACCATACACACTTCCATTAGCAGAGCCGTGTACTAATTTCACACTACATAATTAGTCTTAGTATGTTTGTGTTTCCACAGCAAAATGAAATATAGACCAAGTGTGTTTTTGACTGTACTGCACTGCTAGTGTACACTAAAAATTCACAGTTCTAAGGGTAAAAAGGTAAGCTACTAAGTTGCTGAAAATATAAATATGTTTCAGAAAGTGTTGGTGGATATCTTCACACAGATTAAAGGCTCAAATACATATTTTTCTCTGTCAATGTCAAATGTCAAAACTCATAAAATTCGTATTTTTTGTAGAGTTACTTCAAGATAGAAGATTAATAACTTCTGTAGTGCTGTATACACTTTTGGGCTGACATGAAGGAGAAGAGACTTATGTTACAGTTTTTTGTTTTCTTTCATTTTGTGTTATTGTTTTTTCCCCTACAATACGTCATGAACATGGGACCTACTGAGGTGCTATTCCTGAGGAGTTTTTGTTCTGGGGCTGTAAGATGTTGCTGATGATTGCGAATGCTACTGGAGTGGAGGATGTGCAACAAGATTACTGATCTAAGTTATCAGTGATTTTAATGTTTTGATTGTCTGACATTTTTGACTGAGGTCAAAAAGAAGTAGGCAGAGAAAATTCAGGTCCACCTTCTCCTAAGTTTGTCCATTAGAGAAGACTTTATCTAAACAGTTTGAAGCTGTTAGAATTAGTTTGGGATTTGAAAAACTTTCTGACCCGAGCCAGTAGGATTGAAGTTTTAATAGGTTCGAATCTCATAACAAAAGTCACAGTAAATTATTTGTGTAAAGTTATTGGAGTGTACCCAAGCAATGGAGTTTCATGGAATAAATAATGTATGGCCTGTTGTTGGCATGACTGACTGGTCTGACCCAGGATCCAGACCTGGATTGAATAGGTTGAATGACATATGCATCTAATTTGTCCCCAGAACTCGTCATCCAAGGAACTTGTTCTGGGGCTAAAGAGTCCCTAAAGGAACTATTATTATGTTTAAATGTTCTTGAAAAATAATCTAGCTCATAATTATGCTCATATATCTGATATTGACTAAGCAAAAATCTCTTTATTGAATTACATTGCTGGCAGTCATGTTGACTAGTTTTCAGGTAATCAAAAGCTGTGGAAGTGAACAGTGAAAACCTGGATAAAAACAAAGTTTTATTCTGAGTGTGTAAAAATTTAGTATAACACAAAGTGTCTCATGCAAAGATACTTCACCTGACCTTGGTTGCTTTTGTGTCTAAATTAGAAACAATGAGTAGGGATTTTGGGGCTTTTAATTTGTAAACAGCTTTTTCAAAATTCTGTTTTTTAGCCTTTAATATATAGAATGCAGTATTTGGTAATGGTCAAGCTTAAATTTTCTTTTTTGGTGTAGTGCTCAATCTTGCGTCCTGAGGTAGCTTGTGACAAAAAAGATAAAAAAGTAGAGATGCTGTTTGATATCCCAGTAGGTTTGAAGAATGCTTAGTTTAATGCATAATTTGTAACAATCTAGCTGCTAGTGGTCTTAAAAAAGTTGTAAAGCTTAAGATTCAAGGAGATGTGGCACTTGTGTGTTTCGGTATTAACATTTTTTTAACCAATTGATTGGCATGCTTTTGTAATATACATAATATTCAAACATGTAACATTTCATGTTTTGTGCTTGTATAGTACTGTCCATTTTACTTCCCTCTTCACCACTAAATTAATGAATCGGTTTTATGAGACACTACTCTTGATCTAATAGACAAGTGTCACCCAAGGGAGGTGATACTTTATGTTAGTAATTGCTATCCTTGACCCTGGCTTCTGATTAGCCTATAATCGGAAGTGCCAGGACCCTGCAGACGCTTTGTTTGGCTGCCACTTCTTACTATTCAAACCTCTTCACTGTCACTGATGCACAAAACGGTGTGCTCTCAGCAAGCTTTAATGGTATGAAATAAGCCTTGCATGAAATAAACCTAGTGTCTTTTTGGAAAGCAGAATAGCAGAGGTTATAAAGTCTGTCTTCTTTGGTTCACTGTTGGCTTCAGGGATCATGCTTGTAGTTGACTTTGACCTTTCATTTTTCTGGAAGGCAGGCATTTTCTTTGCAGGACTGTGTTAGCAGCAAGTTCTGTTTACAAAACAAAATCCAGTGGTGTGTGTTACATTCATGTTATTACAAATCCAAAATACTTCAACATCAGTACGACCAATGCATAACATACATTTTTGTGTCTTTTTTAGGTACATAGACAGCTATCTGTTTCTAGTTATGTCTCTATGGTCTGGAAATCAATTTTTTAGGCTGTTAACTTCTTTGGGTTGCTCGTGTTTCCATTGTTAATACAGCACAAGTGTTTCAAATTACTCTGCATTTACAACTACAAAACAGTGTCAACAGGCATAAAGGCAGACACGATGTTCACTGTGATGTACAGAATGACTCAACAAAATCCCAATTTTATTCGATCTGTATTGTTCCTTTTTTATATACTAAACCAAAATGCAATCGAACTCTGAGCCAAAAATAAGCTGACAGTTATATTCTGTTGACATCTGCATACACGACGTTTTATATTTTCTTGTTCTTGTTCTTCTTCCTTTTCGTCCAGCTGGGACGGTTCACCACAGCTGATCATCTCCCACCATCTGACCCTGTCCCAAGCATCCTCTTTTGTGAACACAGCGTTTTATGATTCGGGTGTGAACAAGTGAATTTGAACTGTTTGAACCACAACTTTACAATGACTGTCCAGGGGATTGTTAGTCATTGTTAGTTAACAGTAAATGATTATTAATTCAAGCTTAACTCAGTTTACTACTTATGAACAATGCTCATTATAAAGTGATAACTATAACTTTAATCTTGCCTAATGATAATTATTCCAATTTTAAGTAATTCAGTACAAATAGGAACAACCAATAAAGAATAAAAAAACATAGTTAATCAAAATGTGAACTATAACAAGTGGCAACAAAGGTGCAACCCAGAAACTACTATCAGAGTCCATGACCAATCCTTTTCAACCTTAGTTTATTCTGCACGCACCAATATATGTCCATTCACTTTCCTTGTTTTGTCCTTGAAATACAGATTTGGCGTAAACCACTTAATCTGAAGCAATTTATTTGTTATAATATACAAGAGTCTCATAGCCTTTACCAGTAATAGCTTGCTTGGTTGTCATAGTGATCATCAAGTTATTTTTAATATGACCTAAGTTGACTTAAGTCCTGTGTTTTTTTTTTGGCAAAAAATTATGGCATGACTTGCAAAATAGGTTTGAGATCTTGAATTTAAACATAAAGTGCAGCTACACATTGTACCCACAGCCTCTCAATTAGTCAACATATTTTGTTAAAATTTAAAAGGATGTTGGTTTGGTTTTTCATTTGGTAATGATACAGAACATGGAGGAAGACAATACTTTGCAGAACTGGGGCACTTGTTAACAGATCTATCCCATATGGAAAAGAAATAGTAAAAACATATATGATTTACTCATGAAAGTGGCCACTTTCTCATTACTTTCATATATTTTTTAGTAAGTATACAAAACATACAAGTTTCATTGTATAATTTTCCAAGGGATCTTATATGTGTTTCCACTCTTGTATGCTTTTCATACAAGTTTCATACAAGACAGATAAAAACTTTATAAGATTTATATATATCTTTTCCATATGGGATACTAAGGGAAAATTACAATGTGAAACAGCTCAACCTCTACACAATTAACACTGCAGCACATGTCAACAGTGCGGATGTACTATCTGTCAGAGAGAAGAAGTAGCTCCATGACAAAGTAAATCTCTGATAATGTTGCATTTTCAGCTTTGGGCAGTTTTATCCTGAAGCTTAGACCTGAGCGATCAGTCCTGGTTCTACTTAATGTTTTGCCATTGCT